TTGAGCTTCCAATGAAGCCCAGTCAGTGGTGAGGTGGTCTGGAGTCACGGGAGCGGGATGGGTTGGAGGCCTGTTACTATTCCTGCAGCAGGGTCCCTGTCCCCAGTGCCCAAGAGCTTCTCAATCAGCATGAAAACGGGGGCTTCTTAGCCACAGTGTGCTCCAGAATCAAGCACTGAGGAACACTGAAAAGACAAGGTGTTTCAGTTCATGAAAATGGGTTGCAAGTTCTGTTAGGTGTGATGCAATTTCACAGAAAACACAACTTGGGTCACCCTGATATAAGATGCAGGAGCACTGCAAGTCATTTGTTCCTGTTTGTGCACGGAAAATTGCAGATCTAGCTGAAGGGCAACACACACAAGGTCTGACTTATCAATATTATTATACAATAATTGTATAATCTTAGAAGGCTGTAGATCATAGAATTGTAGAGCTGGAAGGGACCAAAGGGGTCATCTTGTCCAACCTCCTGCAATGCAGGAATCACAGATAAAGGATGACGGACAGATGGCCATCCAACCTCACCTTAAAAACCTCCAATGAAGGAGAGTCCACCACCTTTGAAGGTGGCCCATTCCACTGTCGAATGGCTCTTACCTCAGGAAGTTCTGAACTGATTTTAGAATGTATTTTAATTAATTGACTGTGTGATTTTATGTACACTGTGCTATTTTTACTTGTTGCTAGCTGCTCTGAGCCTGGATTTGGTCGGGGAGGGCGGGATACAAATAAAATTATTATTATTATTATTCCTAACATTTAGTAGGAATCTTCTTTCTTGCCATTTGAATCCATTGGTTCCAGTCCTCCCCTCTGGAGCAGAAGAAACCAAGCTTGTTCCATCTTCCATGTGACAGCCCTTCAGGTATTTGAAGGTATTCATTCCAAAAAAATTTGTGCATTTCCCCATCACATTCCAAATCCTTAAAAGGAGGTGTTTTTTGTTTGTTTGTTTTTAAAAAGTAAGTGGTCCATTTTGTCCACTGGAACTCATGGACAAACAACGAAGCTGAATGTTGGAAGATGTGCGGCAGATTAAGAAAGTCCTTCACACTGCACATAGATAAACTACGGAACCCTCTCCCACAGGAGGCAGTGATGCCTACCAACCCAGTTGGGCTTTAAAAGAGGATTAGACTGATTCATGGAGGGAGAGGGATATCAATGGCTATTGGCCACGATGGCTATGTTCTGCCTCCACACAAGGCAGCAGCAATGCTTCTGAATATCATTTGCTGGAAGCCAAAGAAGAAGAGAGTGCTGTTGTGCTTGCATCCTGCTTATGGGCTTCCCACTGGGGTGTCGCGAGAACAGGATGCTGGACTAGATGGATCATTGGCCTGATCCAGCAGTCTCTTCTCATGCTCTTATGCCAGCCTGGAGGCTGCTCCTCCTGCTGATTCTGCAGTTAAAGAATCTCACCCCCAAAGGCATTTGGTTCCCTGGAATTTATGGGCATCCCCTCCCTTACTGCATAATTATTTCCTATTTTATGTTGCAAGGTGACAAATGCAGCATAACAGGAAGCCTCTGTGGCTGAATCCAAAGAACGCCTGGCAGTCCAAAGCTGCCAGCAAAGGATTTGAAAGGCCAGAATCACTCCTACAGAGGCAGTATTTAATCCTCCGACAGCAATTTCTTCAAAAATTATTTCTGTATTGCAGAACAAGCAGTGCCTTTCTTTTTTATCTTTTGGGTGGAAATGGGGGACGGGGGCAGAGAGAGAGAAGGGAAGAACTACTGAAAAATCTCCACCTGTTCAGTAAAGATCAGTTCAAAGGATGTCACCCATTACAAACTGGCTTCTAATGCCTGCTCAAGCCCAGGCTGCCCAGCAGTGCCCATATATTTAAGCATGGATCTGGCCCACTTATGGAGAAAGAGGGGTGGTCAGCACTCCCAGCTCTGCCTCCAGCATTAGCTCCACTGCATATTCCAGTGGGAAACCCAGCCATAGTTTGCATAACAAGGACAAAAAAGGATGGGAGGGGGGAAGGCTCAAAGAAAATATTTTCCCATGCCAATTTGGAAACAGGTTATTCTTCAGCAAGCCATTCCAACCACTTTTCTGATGTTGTCTAAAGAGAAGCCAACGCAACCAGAAAGAGTTAGACCCCCTGCTGATTTTGTATTCTTAAACATGCAGCTAAAACTCATAAAACTTTGGAAGCGGCAGAGGAATCCCGAAAAGAAACCCAAAATATAAGGAAAGGAGGATCTAATGATGCCTGAAAACAATAGCCAGCACACTTTGAGAAATCGTTCCTCCTGATTTGAAGGTAACGAGCCTCTGTGTTGATGCCTGGCACCAATTATACAGAGCCCTCTAAGCCTAGCCTGATTTGCACTATCAAGAGCAAATCTGTGCTTAGGCACCATATACAGCAGAACCCAGAATCTTTCCCAGTCGGATGTCCCTGGACTGGCAGCTGTGCTCATTTCGCCATCCCTGACCCCGACATCTGGGCACATGCCGCCGCTGACAATACAGATCTTCACTTTTCCCATTAGACACCCCCCCAAAATCCTAACCAAATATATTGCTCCTAAAGGCACCCCCAGCTCACCCTTCCTTTCACCCACTAGTTTGCTAATGAAAAGAAAAAGTCATCATCAGCATAAAACAGAGGCACTTTTCTTACGAATGAGGATTACTTCTTTTTTTTAAGCCACCACCTTCCCATTATTCTGCAACTTGGCCAGAAATAAAGAGAAGCATCAGCTGGTATCTCAGCATGAGATCAAATGAGGAAGTATCACTGAACCTCTGACTTGAGCTTCTCTTTTCTCATCTTCTTCCTAAACCTCCAGCAAAAGCACAGGAGACTTGGAAAGGCAGTGGAAGAAGACGATGCTCCCATCTTTCGGGGGGGGGGGGAAGGGGCAGAACTCTGGGGAATGCCCACAACACCATGGCAGCCGAGAAGGACCAGGCAGGGATGAAAGTTGGGGCAGATAAAAGAAAGTGCTTAATAATAAATTTATTCCTCTTCATGCTTCTTCATAGCTAAACTATGGAATACGCTCCCAGAGGAGGCAGTGATGGCCACCAACTTGGACAGCTTTAAAAGGGATTAGAAAAACTCATAGCAGAGACAGCTATTGATGTTCTGCCTCCATAGTCCGAGGCAGCAAGGCTTCTAAATATCAGTTTCTGGAAACGGGGGGGGGGGGCGAGCTCTTCTGCTCAAATCCTGCTTGTGGGGTTCAGTCACAGTGACAACATGATGCTGGACTGCATGGGCCATTTGCCTGATCCATCAGGCTATTCTTATATTCTTATGATGCACCCCCACTCAAAGATACCCACTAAATAAGCCAAGCAGAGGACTCAAGTTTTTTTCCCCCCAGGGTCCCCATGGCCCTCAAAGAACAGCCCCATTTTTACTCTTGCCCCACATACACCCACTCAACTGCTTCGATCAGCGGAACTGCCACTGTTATAGGTGCAGCATAACCCATTTCACATTTGTATGAAATTGGTCTTTTAGTGTGGAGGCAACTACACTTTGGAACTCCCTGCCTATTGATATCAGGCAGGTACCTTCGTTGTACAGTCGTACCTCATGTTATGTCCGCTTCATGTTACGTTCTTTCAGGTTACGTCCTGCGGCAACCCGGAAGTACCGGAGTTACTTCCGGGTTTCACCTCTCGTGCATGAGCAGATGCACAAAATGATGTCATACGCATGCGCAGAAGCGGCAAACTGCAACCCGCACATGTGCAGATATGGGTTGCACTCTTTTCATGTTGCGAACAGGCCTCCAGAACGGATCCCGTTCGCAATCAGAGGTACCACTGTAGTCTTTTTGATGCCTGCTAAAAGCATGCATTAGACAAGTTTTCCCAGATATTGAGAGTTTTAATATGTTTTTAGTCTGTTGTTATTTTAACTTTTTGAAAAATTTGAATTAATGTTAATTTTCCTTATTGGTGATTTTATTGTTTTATTTCCCCCCCGGAAACCACTTTGAGGGTTTTGTTTTGTTTTTTACAATCAAGAGGTGCATACATTTTATGAAATGAATAAATAAATACTCCATATTCTGCCCCCACCCCAGTGAACCTGGAACAGCAATAACATGCTTGTCTCCTTGCTTGACGGAGTAGTGGGGGCTCTTTTGGAAGAATGAGTGGGCAAGGCGGAAACTGAGGATGTGGCGTTTGCTGCCGACCAGCTACTCATGGAGACTCCTGCTTGTGTTTGGACTCGGCAGCCAAAGGTAATCTGAACATAATCAAGGGATGGATGAAGGTCGTTGTGCTGTCTGTGCTACGCAAAACAAAAGTCAGCACACAGACGCTGCCAGCCAGAGGCCACAACAGGACGTCCTCTCCTCCTCAGATGACCTCCATATAGCATCACTTCGCAATGTGCTGTGACCATCCTGGGGGCACAGAATCCAGCTTTTGGCCTGGCAAAGGCTGGTTGTTGTTGTTTTTTGTAGTTCCATGTCACATTTTGGAGCATAATCTGAAGCATCCAAGCATGAGCTCCTTTGTGCCCAAAGTGTCCCGAAAGCCACTTCCAACAGTGAAGGAAAATGAGATCTCACCATCACAAAAGGGCTGCCATCTCCCTCACCCCCAGGAGATCTTTCAGCAGCCTCACAGCAGGCAGAAATTCAACTAATGCAGCTTCCCTTCACACCTCACTGGGTGCAGTGTTGTTTTGCTTTCACAACTCCCCTACAACCTCCCCACCACCTGCATTATTGGTATTATTTTGGCACCAGGAATCCCTGCAGAGCCTTCCCAAGCCCAAGGCCTGGGAGACAGAGAGGCCTTGCCTGTTCCTGTGTTCGGGTTCACTGCGCGGACCTTTTCCTCCAGCACTAACATCCTTTGTCACGGAAGGTGACCTTGCAAGACTTTCTCACAGGTGCTGGAAAAATACAAGGGGAGGGAAGAAAGTGCGAGTTGGGTGCTTCTGCCCTATTTTTGCACAGGAGAAAGCGACTTCCAAAGCCGATTCACTGTCCACAATGACATAAGGACCCGGCATAGCTCAGGTGGTAGGGCATGAGACTTTTAACCTCTGGGTTGCGGGTTCGAGCCCCACATTGGGCAAAAAGATTCCTGCATTGCAGGAGGTTGTTCTAGATGTTCCTTGGGATCCCTTCTACAATTCTGTGATTCTCTGATTAGAAGAGTGTGCTGGATCAGGCCCACCTAGCCCAGCATCCTGTTCCCACCGTGGCCAACCAGATGCCCATAGGAAACCCACAAGCAGAATCCCAGCAGCTTAAAGCAACTGGTATTCAGAAGCATTGCTGCCTCCAATTGTGGAGGCAGAACATAGCTACCATGACTAGTAGCCATTGACAGCCCCCTACTCCATGGATGTGTCTAAATCTCTTTTAAAGTATGGTTACCAGACGTCCCCATTTCCTGGGGACAGTCCCCGATTTACAAATCTGTCCCTGGACAAAATCCGTTCCCGGAATGTCCCCGGATTTCATTTAATGTCCCTGGATTTATATTTTAAGTGTTGTAGATTTATTAGTAGGGAAAGAATGCTGCGTGAATGGTTCAACGGCACAAGACACATCATATGGGGACTTCTGGCGAGGCAAAATGGCGGGTGCCATGGCAGCGAGCAGCTCCTGAAGCCAGCCAGAGCCAACTGCGCTACCAGGATGGCTCTGGGCTGCTGAGGCTGCTGCTGCCACTGCCACTGCTGAGGGGGAACCGGGGATGCCCAGCGCATCAACTGGGGGAACTGCTGCCCCCCCCCGGTGACCCAAATCAAGCTGGGAGCAAGAGCACCCGGCCGACTGCCCAGCAGCGCTCTGGGGCCAGGAAAGCCCCGGAGCCGATGCAGAGAGAAGGAGGAGAGGAGAAGTAGAAGGAAGAGAGAGAGGGAGGAAGGAAAGAGAAAAAAGAGGGGAGCCCGGACCCTGCCATCCCACCGCGGAGGGGAGGCAGGAGAGCACAGGGACGGCAAGAACACATCGCTGAGTCCAGGCCCAACCCGAGCCTACTCCACGGTGGCTAGTGCTCCAAGAGAGCAGGCCGGGGCCCAGAGGAAGGCTGTGCGACAGAGGAGACAGAGGAGAAAATCTTTGGAAAAAATCTGGTAACCTGACTTAAAAGCCATCTAGGTTGGTGGCCATTCCCTGCCTCTTGCAAGAGTGAGTTCCATAGTTTAAGCTCAGGCACTTGCCCAGGTGCTTCGTGGCCCAGGGCTAGGGCCCTGCTCTGACCCAAGACCTGTCTTAATCAACCCAGATGTCAAAGAGGGCACAGATGCCTGCAGCACCATCAGCGTGTGGGTTGCCTTGCGCTGTTTTTAGTCTGTGAGGGGCTAACACCGAACTCAGGAGAAGGCAGGCACGCGATGCCTCTACTTGCCACCCAGCATGATCCTGGCTGCCTTTGAACTTGACTTCAACCATCATGAAGCTCACGGGGCCCCACCTCACACCCCCTTGGAGGTGCAGAGAGGTGAAGATCATTACTAAGCCTTCATGACAATATGGAAATTCACTGCCATCAGCAACGGAAAGGGTTGCCAGCCGTGCCAGAGTAGGTTCCTGCCTGCACCCGGCTGCCGCAGAAGGACTTTGGGAGACAGCTCGGAGTATTTTTATGCTGCTGTGACAAACATGCTCAAACATGTCACTTTGCTTCACGTCACGCAAAGGTCCATGAATAAACTCTGGGCCCCATCCAAGGTTATGCAGCCATCTGTATCCTCAGAAGAGCAGCCAGCCTGTGGGCATCATCAGTGAACCAAATCCCTGGACCCATCTCCCCCCCTTCCCTTGCCCACATCCCCTGGTTGTCACTTTTCTGAGCTTAACAGTAGACTGAACCCGTCAGGACAGAGCTGTCTTCCTTCCTCTATAAACTAACTCCCAGCCCGAAAAGGCTCCCCCCAAAGAAAACTAAAATGGGGGAAAAGTCCTGCTTTCCTTTTTGCAAAAAACAACAACAGTGGCTTCTTCTATTTAAGATATGAAATATGTGATTTATCTATTTCAATAGTAATTATACTCTGTCTGCTGCCAAGAGAGAGTCAGTGTGGTATCATGGTTAGATGAGGACCCAGAGGACCAGGGTTCAAATCCCCACTCGGCCCTGAAGCTTGCTGAGTGAGTGATCTTGGGCCAGTCATCCACTCTCAGCCTAACCCATCTCACAGGGTTGTTGTGGGGATTAAATGAGAAGGTAGAGAAATTTGTATGAGATCTTTGAAATGCAATAAATGAGTCAAATAAAATGGTAGAAAAACACTGTGTTGTTGTTGTTTTAATTTTATTAGTATTTTCCACACAACAACAACACAAAAGATATCAAAAAATAACAATACACAACACACAAAAATCAACATTAGAAAACTAAAGAAAGCAACAAAAAAACAACACAAATCCATATCTTACAAGTTAATATTATAAACAATAAAACAACGACAACAAGACATTGACTTCCACCAATCCCACAGCACCTCCTTTATCTCTCATTGTGTCTTCCTGATTTCCTATTTTCTTTATCATCTCTATCCTAACATCTAGATATAAATCCTTCTTTCATATCCTTTCACTTCACAAGGTTATTCCAGACTCAGCCAGATTTCTGCCCTCGAACCTTGACTTTTGAGGTATTCATTTAGGCACTCCCATTCTTTTTTTACTTCACTTTTTGGTTTTTGTCTTATTATGTCTGTCAATTTGGCTAATTCTAAGTATTCTGAGCCACTGTTAAGGCTAACACTGTTAGGATAACAGTGGTGATGTAAATATACAGAGGCAAGGCAAGGCTTTTACAATCTCATCGTTATGATTTTAAAAGGGGCCAAAAAGTTTATTAAATAAAGGTGTCTAGAAGGAGAGAAATTGTCACAATGTTGATGAACACACTATGCGTGCCCCCCCCAAAAAAAATTAGCTATAAGACGGAATGAGGGGCCAGCCCTTGTGTGATTTGTGGGGTGTGTATGTGTGTGTAGCAGACCATGCAGGGTTTGTGTGTGAGCACACAGCTCTTACTTTCTATTTTTAACTGCCTGATGTTCTCAGCTGTCAAAACCTGCTCATCTCTGTGAAACAGACAGGAGAGCCAGATGTTGCCCTTTGAAAGATGTAAAATTGAAATAAAAAATTACTGAAGTTGAAGCACTGAGGGATCTCCAACGTGGGACCAGCCCTCACTGACCCTCTTCCATGCCCTTCACCTGCCTGGTGCTTCCATGTTTGTTAAAGCAGAATCAGAAGCTCACCTGGCCTAGGTCCACTGCTTCCTGCCAACGGCATTGCACAGCAAGGCTTTGTGATCTGCACCTTGACATGCCATCACCTGTGAAATGGATGCCCAGAGCCTGGCTGAGATGCAACTTCTGTACCTGTCCAGTGAATTATCACCTGCTCTACGTTCCAAGCACAAGTAGGCCCCCTCTGTCTAGTTTCCTTTTAAATCCATCTGAACCCTCCAAAGTCCTGCTCAGTGATCCCACAGAAGAGACACTGGTACCACTTTAACCACCGCAGAATCACAGAAGGGACCCAAAGTGTCACCTAGTCCAATCCCTGCAAATGCAGGAATCATGGCTTCCCCCCCAAGAACCCTGGAAACTGTGGTTTGTTAAGAGCACTGGGAACTGTAGCTCTGCGACAACAACTCTCTTCACCCTTAACTAACTACAATTCCCAGTATTCTTTAAGGGAAACCATGACTGGGGTAAGAGTGCTTTAAACGTATCGTGTGGGTGTGAGCCCTGTCATGTATAAGTGGTCTCAGTGCCTGTTTCAGGACAATGCAGAAGGTTTTCTGCTGTCACAGATCCAGAACGGAGAGGGATTTCAGGCACTCTGGCACCTTGAGAAGGTCTTGAGAACAACAGCCCCAACTCTCTGAGCTTCCAACCATCCAGAATTTGTTCTGTTGCGGTTGCATACATGTAGTCTATGATCTGTGAGGGACAGCCTCAAGAGCAGACCTTGAGTTTTGGGGGTTGAGACTAGATGACCCACTGGGTCCCTCCCACTTTGACAGTCTTATGATTCTATGTCAGGTCACCTGGACTACATTTTAAAGCAGCAGCAGCATGGCAGGAAAGAAAAAAGGCTTCTGTTCCCTGATTCACATGAGCTTCCCCAGGTTTGAAGATCTTCAAGAGGGGCCCTTGTCTCCGTCCCACCAACATCCGAAGCATATTTGCTGGTAACTTGAGAGAGGACCTTCTTTGTGGTTGCTCCCAGGCTCTGGAATACCTTGCCACAGGAAGCCTGGCTGTGGCCATCTCTAACAGACTTCCTTCAGCAGGCAAAGACCAAACAGGCCTTTGGTTTGATATAGTAGGACTCTTCTAAAGTGCTTTTACTGTCTTGCATATCCACCACATATGATAAAAGGTGCCTTCAACCTGGATGACTTTCAGTGGGGATTAGACAAATTGATGAAGGATCCGGCTATGTCCTCCCTTCAGTGTTAGGGGCAGCGTTGCCTCTGAATACCAGGCGGGGACCTATCAAACCAAAGGGAGCCCATCTGTTTCCACAGCAGTCACTCAGATGTCCCAACAGGAAACCCACAAGCAGGACCTGAATGCAACAGAGCAACGCTCTCCCCGCCTGGTATTCAGAGGCAACGCTGCCCCTAACACTGAAGGGAGGACATAGCCGGATCCTCCATCAATTTGTCTAATCCCCACTGAAAGTCATCCAGGTTGAAGGCACCTTTTATCATATGTGGTGGATATGCAAGACAGTAAAAGCATTTCAGGAAATGATACATAATGAACTGAAAAAAATGTTTAAAATAACTTTTATTTAAAAAAGCTCAAAGCTTTTCTTTTAGGAATTATAGGTGCATAAATTCAAAGGGAGCAGAAAAGACTATTTATGTATGCGACCACAGCTGCGCAGATGTTATCGGCCCAGAAATGGAAAGAAGACAAAGTCCCTACCAGAGAAGAATGTCAGACTAAGTTGATGGATTCTGCCGAAACGGCCAAAATGACTGGAAGAATTAGAAATCAGGAAGGCCAAATTTTTAATAAGGAATGGGGGGAAATTATAATTTATCTTAAAAACCATTGTAAACAGCTAAAACCGTTAGTGGGATTAGAG